GGGCTCAAACCCGCCACCCTTGGTATATGAGGCTGGCACCCCACTCACTGAGCCACAGGCCCCGCACCCCAGCTATTTTTGTTGTTGTTGGTAGTTGTTGTTGTTTAGCTAGCCTGGGCCAGGCTTGAACCTGCCAGCTCTGGTGTATGTGGCTGACGCCCTACCCTTTGAGCCACAGGCACAGCCACGTCTGGCTAGTTTTTAGAGACAGGGTCTTGACTTTGTTCAGGCTGGTCTCGGAACTTCTGAGCTCAAGTGATCCAACTGCCTTGGCCTCCTAGAGTGCTAGGATTACAGGTGTGAACCACAGCACTCAGCCACTTCAGTTTTTTTTAGATGACTCATGGGGGAAACAAACAGTAAACCATTCCTCATCCCTCTATTTCTTTGGTTTATGTAATCTTATTCCTTCATTGTCTAGCGAAGAAGTTCTATACAGTTGCTTTTAGCCATTACACTGACCTGGTTCATGGATCATATAATGGACCCATCCCTGACTCTGCTGAACACCAAGATTCCTCCACTCAGATTCAGACATCAAATGTGTTTTAGGGACCAGCTTGGCTATATCCTTGGGCAACATGACATGCCTGTAACAGAAACATAGGGAGATGGGAATTTTTGTCAGTGGTACAGTCTCTTACACAAGGCCAACAAAAAGAAGAGAAACTATTTTCTGATGTCAGTGAGTTTATATCATCTTATTGTGGGTAGCAGCACCTAGAAATACAGGATAAATTCTATAAATTCTCACAAGTGTATATTAAAAAGTACAAGTTAATGGCTAACTTCAGTGAAGGAGTACCTAAACTTCAGGCACTGTCCATATATTTCTATCTGCCTTCACAGACCTTATGATCTCCTCTTGATCACCCACATTATAAAGGGAGCCCCACAGAGCATACTGCATCAATAGCTAGAGGGAGGTTTTTGAACAGGATTGAAAGGGAGGGTAGTTATTTTGTGGAGAGAAAAGGCCTGTTATGAAGTGCTGTGTGGAAGAGTCATCACAAAGGATGAAATGAAAACATGAGGCTCGGTGCCTGTGGCTCAAGTGGCTAAGGCGCCAACCACATACACCTAAGGTGGCGGGTTCGAATCCAGCCTGGGCCTGCCAAACAGTGATGGCTGCAACCAAAAAATAGCTGAGCGTTATGGCAGGCACCTGTAGTCCCAGCTACTTGGGAGGCTGAGGCCGGAGACTCGCTTGAGCCTGGGATTTGGAGGTTGCTGCGAGCTGTGATGCCACAGCACACTACCCAGGGGGACCGCTTGAGGTTCTGTCTCAAAAAAAAAAAAAAAGAAATGAAAACATGAGCCCAGAGTTCAAGTCTATGGTATATGTATTCTACACAGTACACAATACCTGAACTCTACCCTAGGGAGCATACTGAGACCTTGTCTTGTGGAGGAAGGTGTCACAAGACTTCTTTTGGTAAATTCCATACTTTCCTAAGGATAACACTGTCTTCATGGGGCGGCACCTGTGGCTCAGTGAGTTGGGTGCCGGACCCACATACTGAGGGTAGCTGGGTTCAGGCCCAGCCTCAGCCAAACTGCAACAAAATATAGCTGGGTGTTGTGGTGGGCACCTGTGGTCCCAGCTACTCGCGAGGCTGAGGCATGAGAAAAAAAGAAAAAAGACTGTCTTCATGGCAAAGAAATTATTACGCTGAGGTCAACCAGACCAACCCAGATAAGACTTCATCAAGCTCAGAGAAAATCTATTACTTGTGTCCTCTGTGCTAGTAGAGGTTCCTTCCAAGAAATAGTCTAATCTAAATGTCTGAAAATGCCTCACATTTTAACAAGCCCCTGGCACAAAATTTGGCTTCAACATACAGGCAAAAAAGCCTCTTAAACTAAAATGCCATTACCAAGCTAAGAGTTTACATGTTCCAGGGGATGAAAGTAATGATTTCTCTGCAGCCCTGCCAATATTTTATAAGCATATATAGTAGTTTTAGTTAGTTTAGTTCGGATGTAGAGGAAAATAGCTAGAAGAACCCTAACTGGGTCCAAGAAAGGGCTGGGGTTGTTTTGACATAAAAATAGATTTGTATTTGTCCACACACATTGAATTCTCCAAAGTGCCCAAATCCCTGAACTATGCTGGGTGAAGAGACACAAGAAAAGCAAGTTTCCATTTTACGTTTTCCAGTTGAGGAGATAACTAACTTCCTGGTTTGTATCTTAAGTATTACAATTAATACAGATTAGTGTCATGCCAATATTTGTTGAATTGTCTTCACTTTTAAATCTAGAATTATTAAGGACTTAGAAGTTATCAAATCCAAATGCTGCACCCAGTAACAAGGATTCCTTCTTCACTCTCCCCAGCAGACGGCTATACAGTGTCTTCTAAGCAATTGCAGTCAAACGGTTCTTTCTCCTTTCTACGTCTCAGTCTCATTTTAGGCAGTGTCCTTCAGGAAGCTTTCTCAACCTTCCCTCTTCCTTGGCAAGTCCCATGTGCTGCCACCACACTTTTCAGTAGCTCTAGTATAGCACGTTACTAACTTTCTGGAGTCTGTCAGTATCTTCCATAGATTTTTAAGTTTGAACAACAGAGACCATGTCTTATCCTCACACTTTAGCAGAACGTCTGAAACCTGTTAAGCACTCACCGTTTCCTTAAATAGACATTTAAAGGGCATCTATTATGCCCATATTAAGTCTTTTCTCAATGCTCTCCGCCAGTTTTATCCCATTCCAGTTCCAAGAACCGCCCCTCTTCCTAAAACGAGCCAGGCAACCACGCCTTTTCTTTTCCGTGAATTAATAAGCAGCACTCAAGCTCTCTCAGAACTATCCTCACATTGAGGACGCGAGGAAAACTCTATCCGCTTCTGCCTGAACTTCTAAGAGAATGATCCAGAAACCCCCAAGTGTGAGGGTGGTTACCGTTCTAAACGTGCCCACCCACGCTCAGTCACAGGAGCGCAAACTCCAAATTCGTTACCACTTTGTTTTACAACGACAGGCCAACCTTCGCGCATGCGCTTTACGCCTGCCACAACGCGCTCCTCCTGTGAGTCTCGTGCGCATGCGCCACTGGGTGGCCTCAGTCCCCATCCTTAATTCATGGTACCCTCAATTGTCAAGACTCACAACCTCGCTATGGCCCCTGCGCCGGCACTAACCGGTACTCGAACTCCTCGTCGTCATATTTGTCCGAATAGTAAATTTGTTTGTGCGACATGATCGCTCCGCTTGCTTCAACCCCGCACGGCCAACCTCACAGATCTCCGCAGTACGCAACCCCACCTCTCCGGCCTCACTTTCAAACACACCGCCCACACTTCCCATTGGCCCCTTCGGCTCAGGGCGGGACAACTCCATCTTCAGGCCTCCGATTGGCTTATATTTTCTTCTCCTCGCATCCTTATTGGAATACAGAGCTTACGTTTCTCAAGAACGAGCTCGGGTCAAAAACAGGCCTCTTATTGGCTGTTACTGCTCCTGTGAGTGTTCTCGCACAGCGATTGGCTGGCCTGGGAAAGTGGGCAGGGTGAAGGAGGTACCGTGAGGTAGAGGGTCAGGGGTTAGTGAGGCCGGAAGTGAGTGTAATAAAGTTTCTCCAGGGAGGTCGGGCCCGGGGAGAAAGTTGGAGCAGCGGCCTAAGCAGGCGGTGGCGCTATCTGGAACCAAATCAGCCCGCGGTGCGGTGTGGCGACTCCATGAGTACCTGGTGAGTCGTGATTTTTTTCCTCCTTAGATGACCCACTCCTCCACCCCGGAACCCCTCTCCCGGGACCCCACTTCCGGTATTCATTTATAAGTCCCGCCCCCTGAGAACCCCCTCCCCGGAAGTCCCACCTCCTAACTTCAGGGGGTTCCCGAACCCCCACTTGTGTTTTTATTGTGTGTGACCCCACCCTATCGCCCAGTCTTCTTGGAAGTCCCACCCCCCAGACACATTTCCAAACTCTGCTACAAGAAGCCCTTCGTTAATCCTTCAGTTCTGCGAAGCCCACCTCCTTCCAGCGATTCCCCGCCAGGTCCTCTCGTTCCAAAAACCCATCTCCCAAAAGGGCAAAACCCGTCTCCGAGAGCGCTCCGGAGGCAGTGAAGCCCCGCCCCTTGGGTCCACCCCTCTAGCAGCCCCGCCCTTCCCGGCCCGTGTCCTAGGGTCCAGAAACACGTCCTAAAAGTGCTGTGTGCGCCCCAGGGGTCCGTGTTCCCCTAATAAATTTTTCTCTGGGGGACCTAGATCGTCAGCTGAGAAGCTTTATTTTCAATCCCAGAAACTCCACCTGCTTACATATTTCTGTCCTTTATTTTGGGCCTTGGGATCAGTACTCCGAGCTCTCTCTTGCTCCACCAGGTGGAAAGTCAAAGTTCCCGTCTCTGGTTGTAAGGAGTGAGATTAGAGGTAGCCGTTTTCCTCCCTTTCTCTCCAAGGGGGAACCTACTTGAAGGGGACTGGACTTAGTGTTTGGCACGAGAGTAGGAGATTGCTTACAGGTTCTCAGCCCCACTCCCGGAGTTGCTCTTCCCAGGACCAGTCCGAGCCCAGAAACAGCGGCAGGTCTTACCTATCCATGGCTGGACTAGGCCATGGATTTTTTGGTGTGTGGCCTGTGGGTGTGACATAGCTAACGTTTTCTGCTACCAGAAAATGGTGACTTGGCGTGGGGGTGGGGATTTGTTTTATTTTGTTTAAAGGGACTACTCAGTCGGCACTTCTGGCTCTTCCCCTCCCCCTAACCCAAATTCTCGTCGTCTGGGCTTTCCTCCTGGCCCCGTTTGCCTGGCCTCCCTGCTGGTTACATTCCTGAGGTTTTCGGCATTTCCGGCAACTTCCCGTCCCTTGCCTCCTCCCAGCTGGGCTGAGAAGCCACACACAGCTCCCCCCTACCACACACACTCAATCACCTGGATTTACAGTAGGCAATCTCCTCCTTGTGTAAAGAGTCATACTTCCCCTTTATTTTCTTCCAAATTCCCACACCTGTTGGTCCTTCCCTGCCTCTGGAAATGCCAGCTCCCACAGAATGCCGTCTTTTAAGATGAGGACATCCGGCTCGGCGCCTGTGGCTCAAGCGGCTGAGCTGGCGGGTTCGAATCCAGCCCGGGCCGTCAAACACCAATCACGGCTGCAACCAAAAAAAAGCCGGGCGTTGTAGCGGGCGCCTGTAGTCCCAGCTACTTGGGAGGCAGAGGTAGGAGAATCGCTTGAGCCCAGGAGTTGGAGGTTGCTGTGAGCTGTGATGCCATGGCACTCTACCCAGGGCGACAGCTTGAGGCTCTGTCTCCAAAAAAAAAAAAAAAAAAAAAAAGAAGTGGACATCCTAGTGTGGGTTTGTGTCTTTTGGGGGTGTGAGGCTAGGGCAGAACCCTTTCCTAATCCCTAGCCTTAGGATGATAGAATTCCTACTGGAGTGTGGTGGGTGGTGTGGCAAAGCTTCCCTGAGAAAAGGACTGAGAGAGGAGGTGAAAGAGTTAAGCACAGCATCTAACACTTTCTAAGTGCTAGTATTGTTAATCTCAGTGATTGTATAGTCTTTTAATCCTTTGAAGTACATCTAAGCATAATTCCAAGACTAGCCTGATCTTTTACTTGTTTTTTCATCGTTTTCCAACTTCCTAATTCTGCAATGTATTTTCATTGTTAAAAAGGGATCACAACCCACAATCTGAGAACCACTGCTCTATGGCCTCCTCTGTGGCAGGAAGCTGTGGGTAGAAGAGATGGGTTTGGGAGTGTTCCCTGTGTGTCCATACTCTGTCTTCTCTGGGGACCCCTTTCTCCTTTACTCACTGACATAGATTTGTTTTCTGACCTCACTATCCCTTCCTGGCCTATAGGTCCCATTTCTCTTGGAGAATTGTTTTTCCCCCTTCTCCCCCAGTGTGAGGAACAACATGCTCTATGCAGTATGAGTCTGCCTGGCAGTCCAGGGAGTTGACCTTAGAGTTAGTGCGCTGACCCTCATTCTCACACTTAACAGCTTGCTTTGCTAATTAGCCTTTTGGAAAGTGGGGGGTAAAAGAGTCCTTGGCTGTGGGCCATTGCTCCTTGGTTCAAGAGGAGGCTTGACCAACATGTTCTCTTGCTCTGCTTTTGCCTTAATGCTCCACCTAGGTTGGACTTTATTCTTTATTCACCCGTGTTGTCCTTCCTCTTGGCCCTGTTCTGCATCCACTGGGACGACTCCTTTCTCTTCCCCATTTCTCTAGCTCTAGTCCACAGCTGTTGTAGTAGAGTATGCTAATGGCCCTGGCCTCCCTGCGGCTGCCACCCACAGTATGTGGTAGTGGTGGGGAGTGGCCTGGGCTGGGGGAATTTGAGTATTTGTGTGTTTCCCTAGAACAGGAAGGGAAGTGCTGAACTCTGGAGTCCCCTCATTTTTCTCCCTCCAGCAGCCTGTTTCCTCTCTCATTCCCTCCTTGCCCTCCCCTGGCTTCCTGTTCCCTTTGGCTTGCCCTGTGTCTGGTTTGGATTGATCCAGACCACCTCTTATCTCCCTACTTTCCTTTTTAACTCTATCCTTCCCTCCCACCCCCCACTTTACTCCTGCCCAGATTACCAGCTATATAGGGCAGCGGAGAGGACCAAGGATAGCCCTGCCCTGCTAGAGTTCTGGGTTGAGGCAGCAGAAAGGGCTCAGCCCCTCTGAGCCTGTGAGTCAGCACTGTCCTTGGGATTGGTCCTTACCCTTAGTTCCCCGCCCCTGGGGAGGGGCCAGGCAGCTCTGGGTCCAGCCCGTTCTCTTCTCAGCCAGAGAAGAGGCTCCACACTGGGCGGGGATGGGGCCTGAAACTGTCTGGTTCTGAGCTGGGCGAGCTGAAGCCACTTGTCCCTCTCCCTCCCCAGGACTCCTGAGATTCTTGGGCCACAGAGGTCCAACCAGACTAAGGGCCTGGGAATGCCCCCTGCCTGGCCCCCTTGCCTGGACTGGCAGGGGGGCCGGGCTGGGCAGCAACTCCCTTCTCATCCCAGCCATGGATCTCCTGCCCCCCAAGCCCAAGTACAACCCACTTCGGAATGAGTCTCTGTCATCGCTGGAGGAGGGGGCTTCAGGGTCTACCCCCCCGGAGGAGCTGCCTTCCCCATCAGCCTCGTCTCTGGGGCCCATCCTGCCTCCTCTGCCTGGAGATGACAGCCCCACTACCCTGTGCTCCTTCTTTCCCCGGATGAGCGGCCTGAAGCTGGCTAGTCCGGCTGGGGGGCGCCTGGGGCCTAAGGGGGAGCCAGGAAGGGCAGCTGAGGATGGGGAGGGGATCGTAGGGACAGCCGTGCCAGACTCAGGCTCCCTGCCCCTCCTCCAGGACATGAACAAGCTGAGTGGAGGCGGCGGGCGCAGGACTCGGGTGGAAGGGGGCCAGCTGGGGGGCGAGGAGTGGACCCGCCACGGGAGCTTTGTCAATAAGCCCACGCGGGGCTGGCTGCATCCCAACGACAAAGTCATGGGACCTGGGGTTTCCTACTTGGTTCGGGTGAGTGAACATCCTACCTTCCACTCCCTCCCAGAGCCCTCCAGTTCTGTTCACTCCAGCTTTGCTAGAACCTCTTTTCTCCTGCTGTTCCCCGACAACATCTGTGTTTCAGTGTCCTGTTTCTGAAGCCTTTCTCACCCCTTCTTTGATATTGTGCCCTTCCCTTCCAGCTTTGCCTCCCCCACCCCCATCCTTCATGCCCAGCACAATGCCCAGCAGGGCAGCAGCTCTCAGTAAACGAAAGGAGTGTGTAGCTTCTCGATTCTCTTCTCCAGTCTCCTCCCCCTTTCTGGAGATGTCACTCTGTCCCATCCAATGCCTGTTTCTCCTCCAGGTTCTTTTCCTAATGCTTGAGGTCCTCTTTGCTGGCCTTTTCTTTCTCACCTTGTCCCCTGGGGAAGGGGCAGAACTTCATCATTATTTCCCTTGGGGACTATGTAGGGAAAAGCCCTAGGGCCCCTTCTGAAGGGAGTAGGGGAAGTGGCTGACCTGTCCCCTGCTCCCCTCAGTACATGGGCTGTGTGGAGGTCCTGCAGTCAATGCGTGCCCTCGACTTCAACACCCGGACCCAGGTCACCAGGTTCGTGGGGGGTGGCAGATCCCAGAAGGTCTGGGATTGATGAGGCCATGGGGAAGGGAGGAGGGAGCGGACAGAACACTTGGTGGCAGTGCTAGTGGCAGCTAATTCTTGGGTAGTGAAGGGGATTGAAAGAAAGTTAGGCAGTAAGTATGAGTTTGAGTAAAAGAGGCACCTCTAGCTTAATCCTCCTCACTTATCCAGCCTTGGGGGTGAGGGAAGGTGGCAGCAGCAGTTGGCAGCTGGAGCTGGAGTAGAAAGTGTGGGTACATGGAAGGTTGCTGCTGCCTTTGGGAAGGGAATGGGACATTGGTAGCTGGAATGGGGTGGGGCTATACCCACTGAGGCCCTAACCCAATCAGCCAGGAAGCGGCCTCTCAGTGTCATCAAATATTAAAGGCCCTTAATTCAATCTACCACGACAAAGAGCCTGGAGTGCCCCGCCATCCCCTCCCCCAGCCCTGTGCAGCCCTAGCCGAGTGGGCAGCTGCTTTGGGTCTGAGTGCCCCTCTTTCCCCAGGGAGGCCATCAGTCTGGTGTGTGAGGCTGTGCCGGGTGCTAAGGGGACAACGAGGAGGAGAAAGGTACCTGGGGTAAGTGGGGCTAGGGGTGCTGCTGGGAGATATGGAGGGGCAGAGAGGGCAGGTGTGCACCTACAGCCCTCAGGCAGTGCCTGATACCCTGGGCCCTTCCCTAGCCCTGCAGCCGCCCACTCAGCTCTGTTCTGGGGAGGAGTAACCTGAAATTTGCTGGAATGCCCATCACTCTCACTGTTTCTACCAGCAGCCTCAATCTCATGGCCACAGACTGCAAACAGGTTGGTGGGGCTGGGCAGTGGAAACTAGAAAACAATGAAGGAGGGCTAAGAGGAGATCTCCTAAAGCCAGAAGCTAGGAGAGAGGGCATGGAGCAGCAGGGCACAAGGGAAGGAAGCCAGGGGATAAGAAGCCAAGAGAGTAAGATTGGGGCTCCAGAACTCTGGGCCAGGGTGCAGGGAACCTGTGTGAGCCTGAGGCTGCCTGACACGTGGCATTCCTTCTCCATGCCCTGCCCTGACTCTTAGATCATTGCCAACCACCACATGCAGTCTATCTCATTTGCATCCGGTGGGGATCCGGTGAGTTGTGAAACAGAGTGAAGGTTGTGGGAGGAAAGCGAGGGGCTGACGGAGTTGGGGCCAGGGCTATGGAGATATCTGAAAAGGACTGGGTTGGAGGGATCAGTAAGATGGAGCTATACAGTTTAGCTGCCCGCTTCTTCTGACTCTGTCTACCCCAGGACACAGCCGAGTATGTTGCCTATGTTGCCAAAGACCCTGTGAACCAGAGAGGTGAGGTGCAGTGGGGGTCTATGGGAAGTCTGGCTGCTGGGGAGGCAGGTGGACAGGACCTGGGGGTGGTTTTCCTGCTCATTCTGAGTAGAGCTAAGTAGGGGCTCCTGCCAAGGAAGATGAGGGCCCTGTCATGCCTCCACCCGGCAACCCCACCTCAGAGCTCACTGACAGCCTCTGCTGTGCTGCAGCCTGCCACATACTGGAGTGTCCCGAAGGGCTTGCCCAGGACGTCATTAGCACCATTGGCCAGGCCTTTGAGTTGCGCTTCAAACAATACCTCAGGAATCCACCCAAGCTGGTCACCCCCCATGACAGGTGAGCGGTAGGGAGACCGTGGACAACATTTGGGCTAGCTGGAATTGGGAAAGTGAGGCTGGTCTTCCCATACTTGGCTCAGAGGGGCTCAGGGAAGGAAATAACCTATGTGCCCCTGCTTCCCACTTCCTGCTATTCTTATGTTTCCTGTGTGGCCCATCAGGAAAGTCTTCTGAGGCCCTGCCTGCTGCAGGCCAGCTCTTCCTCTTGTTTGCCTGCACTAGAGCTCCAGGACTCATGTTGCATCTCTTTCTCTGACTAGATGGGCTTTCCTGTTCTCAGCCTCCTCATTTCTAGCTGTCCCTCTTTCCTACCCATTTCTCCATTTGCCTTTCTATGTTTTCCTCCCTCTAGAAGCCACCAAAAATTTGATTTAGGGCTGGGTGTGGTGGCTTACACCTGGAGGAGGATCACTTGAGCCCAGGAGTTTGAGACTAGCTTGGGAAACATAGTGAGACATCTTTTTGTTTTTTGTAGAGATAGAGTTTCACTTTATTGCCCATGGTAGAGTGCTGTGGTGTCACACAGCTCACAGCAACCACCAACTCCTGGGCTTACCCAACTCCAAGGGAATCACCCGAGTAGCTGGGACCACAGGCACCCGCCACAACACTCGGCTATTTTTTTGTTGCAGTTTGGTCAGGGCCGGGTTTGAACCCACCACCCTCGGTATATGGGGCTGGTGCCCTGCCCACTGAGCCACAGGCGCCACCTGAGACATCTCTTTAAAAAAAAGGCTGGGCTCGGTGGCTCATGCTGGTAATCCTAGCACTCTGGGAGGCCGAGGAGAGTGGATTGCCTGAGCTCACAAGTTCGAAGCCAGCCTGAACAAAAGTGAGATCCCCA